ATATCTTGAAAGATTAAAAAAAGGTCAATACATAATTAGATTTTTGAAAGAGTTATTTTCTAACTCCTAAACGGTAGGATCCTCCCATCATCAGCTCAGCAACCCAACCATACTGCTGCCACTGCCTTTCAACCAACTTCGATGCTAGACAGCGTACTCGTGAAGCACACAAACGAAGGTGAAAAAACTCACCCGGCTGCAGACAGTCTAAACTGGTGTTGACTGAAGTCTCACCACGACTTACTTGCAGACTGATCAGTCTTAGTAAACTAGATATCCGAATAGTTGTAGGAACTATAACATGACACCTAGCCCTGAACCGACAACTAAGTATTCACCATTAATGCGACGGACAGTCCTCTTGAGGATTCCAGGATTACGTGTGCGGCCTTTTCTTCTGCATTCAGACAATGCAATGACATTGTCTGAATGCAGAAGAAACGGCCGCCCACGTAATCCTGGAATGCGAGGGTGTGTCCACACAACGGGCAAGTATCATTCCTGATATAAAATAGCTCCTAGAAGCCTATGAACGCCCCACGAGGCTCCTGCGCTTCTGGAAGGAGCTAGGTTGGCTCACCTAGCCAACCAAGCTCCTCGACGCATGAAGGACCATCTTGAGTCTAAATACGGAAACCGAAGCCCACAACCAATTGGGCATCGTCATGAATCGGATAAGAAGGCTATCATAGGAACTCCAACAATTAAAATCATACATGTATTAATCGGGTTCAGGCTCGTTGTCTCGTCTAATACCATAGCCTTAAGTTGCTTACGAATTGAATGGAATTTGTTTATAAGTACATTTTTAATATATAATAAACAAACAAAATGTGTTTAAAGACGTTTGATCGTCATGACTTTTTTATTCACAAAAATTTACGATGCATAAACGTACAAAATAATAAAAGCCTAATGGCAAAATTGGTATTCTATGCCCGCGAGGAAGTATAAAAATCTATTAGAAATCCATTAAATTTTCGGTCTTCTAATTTAATTGCGAGCGTTTCTTTCTGTAAGTTACAAAATAGAACTCATCAAAAAAGTATAGAAGATTTATACAATAGATTATGCTTACATTTTTTTAAATAAGCTACAATTTTTCAAATAGTCTATAGTCCTATCTGTCTTTTTAATCTCACAGTTACGAATAGACAAATACTGTCTTTTGGATCTTGTCTTAAAAAAGCATTTAGTGAAAATAGGATTAATAAGAAATCATTTTAAGGTATTACATCTTAGGTTTAAAAACAGACCGCTGTGCCAGTGTTTCAAGATTTGCGAAAAGCGTTAATTAATACATTCGAATTCAGACTAAACAAAGTTTTGACTTTTCGACACTGTGTGATATCTATTTAACCTGTTATCAAGGACTAATTGTTACCTGCGACTTTTGATACCTACTACCGTAAAACCTTTTATACTGAAGCATATTTTAAGAGAAATTTGTTTTTATTAGAAATTTTTGCACTAGACATGGAAGTGTTAGGTACCGAAACAGCACCTAGTAAAAGTATGGTGAAAAATGTAATGCAATTTTGTAGGACTCTTTTTTTAATTAGTGATTCAGACCTATGATCGGTGAAATTGAATGTGTAAGACAACTTTATTTACGTAAAATAATTTCACGAATTCAATTTCCTTTCGTCATACAATCTATAACTAAATGCAACTTTAACCATTACATTGCCTGTATAATAAAATGAATAAATAGCTTTAATCCTAAAGCTTAGAATTAATAATTGCAAAAACTTTTAAAATTTGAAAGTAATTCAAACAAAATTGCGGATCATGTGATCAATAATTGCCTAGTGACCTAGCTAAGGCCAAATATTAAATATTTTGATTTCTAACTCTACTAAAATTCTTTCGTTTATCAACAGCAATAAATACGATACATGAACTTCTCCACCTATCACACTAACGCAACGCTGCCTGTTGGAGATGCGCCGCGGCACGTCATGTTCTTTGAAGTTCTGTTCAACGCTCTTCAAGTAGTTTTTTTTTAAATAATAACTTGATCTCATTTTAAATTAGGTAGAGCCTGTGATATGGTAACCATACTGGTGATTAATACACATATATTTCTAACTACCTACATATATTTTCTAAATAAATTACACCCAGATACAGAACAAATGATCGTGCTCATTACACAATTATTTGTCCTGGGTAAGAATCGAACAAACGACCTCAGCTTAGCGGTCAGGATCACTAACTACAAGGTCAACAGGCCAGTCAGTAGATTTATATTAACAAAAAACGTGAAAATAATGTGTGAAAAATATTTATATTTTAAAAATTATTTTTTCAACTTTACTAACATCTTTTGTGTTTTTTTTTTCTTAACTGACCAACCGAGCTTGCTTACTCTTTACTAAAATTACTTGACTTGATAAAGGAATTCTGATTCATCGTTTAAAAATGGGAAAAGCGATTTTTAGATAGAAACGAAATGGTAAACTAAATCGCGCATATACCTCTTAAGTCAATATCAGATATTTAGCAGACTTTTTCATTAGGTGACAATAAACATAAGCTAGTAGCCTGATAACATGGCCCTGGTTAATATTCTGACGAATCCATCCACTTAGAAAAGAGAAACCTACTCCTGCGATGGCAGAACTTTAGTAGCAACCCTTCTCAGGAAAAGTAATATATGCTCTTCGAGCACTTAAGGTGGAAGTTATCATTATTGCAGAACGCAGTTTTAGATGACCGTAGAAAGAGGTTTGCGTTTCTGTAATCGTATATATTTGTTTTATATTGTATATAACAATAACGTGTCATTAAATTTATCATCATCACCTTCTTGAAACCCTGTGAACAAAAACTTTGAAATCGATCATATAATAAAAATGCAGACTTATCGTATCGTATATATGGTATACGAATCTATTATCAAAGCACAAAATAAAAAGTATACATTTTACACGACAAATCCCCTTTGTATCAAAATTGTGTTCATATTGTGCAGTTACCGGTGGCCACGTGGTCCTGTAGATATTTGTCCACATCCGACTGTTGGAATAATTGAGGTGTACATTTTCACTTTGTTCCGTTTCCATTCGATTAAAATCGTTGTACCACTCTTGTACACCACCTATTCGGTGCTTACTAAACGATTTGAACGGTTCGACGATTCGCTCAGCCGGCTGTATATATTTTTATTTTTTTTATAACATTACGTGTTCCAGTACACAGCCTAAGATTCTTTTTTATTGAATTGTGTAGTTAAATCAAATAATTAATATTAAAAGGTCCTGGTTGATCACTGGCTCCTCGGGAACGCAGGAAGGGAAAAAAGTACAGGCTGCAATGATAAATGATGAAATAAAACAGTAAAAGTGACTAGAATGCACTGACAGTACCACACCACCCAAAGGTTGACTGGAAGAGAATGCCTAGCATTCTCATCAAGTCCGCCGATGTACAAAAGTGCATAAAGCTTAAACTAAGTAATACAAATTTGCCTGGCATTTCACATACACACACTCGCGTCCCTTTTTTTTTGTTAACGGGATGAAGATCCTTACTGATGGTGAGGGCGAAGGGGTCTGTCGGACTCTTACCGACTAAAAAATACCCCGGTATTTCTCTCCTTGCCGATGGCCGGGGGAGTGAAAATCACAACCCCAGTTATGTGCCGGACTAAACGGTCTGCAATTATTCTTTCGAAAAGCTTGTAGACCTCGTCCAGCAACACCATGGGCAGTGTATGTTGCCACAGAGAAGCTTGCTCAGGAACAGAGAGCACACTACCTCCTCCACTAGCTGAGGCCTGAGACTTCGGGTCAATGGGGGCGCGTATGGGTGAAGTTTGCCCCTTACCATACGGTAGGGGCGTCTTCATAGATCCCTGTCTCTTCATGGGCTCGAACTTTGGCCCGTTAAATCTTTAACTGAAGGACTTTCTTGTATTGCTATACCTCTCATACAGTTCCGCTTCTCTAGCCTCTGAGTCCGCCGCCGGTATCTGGTATATCGGCGGCGCTCTGCTACTTAAATTCTGCGCAATTCAACAATCTCCATTGACCACCAGTAAACTTAGCGTTTGGCAGAATACGACCGAGCCCGGGGCATGGCAGCATCACAAATGCTTATCATACTTTCTCGAAACCATTGCGCCTCCTATTTAATATCTAGATGCCTGTCTGATCTGCAGTCCCAGGCCTGCAGTCCAGCCGCTTCAGTGTCCAGCGTGGTCTATCTCTAATCGGAGTTTGTCCGGCTGGCACGCTTTAGTTCAGGGTGAAGACGTCAAACCGAATGTATTGATGATCCGACAACGTCTCCACATCTTCCATCACGTGCCAACTTTGGACAACACGTGCGACAAAAGGGCTAGATGAAAGGTTCACTATTGAACCTCCCCGCTGTCGCACATACTCGTACGTCTGTACTGAGCCCTGATTGAAAAGAGTCTATCCTGCCTCGACGGCTCATTCCTTGACAACCTCGCCCTGCGTAGTAGTAGATTGTACCCAGCTCTTCCACAACTCTCTCTAGGTCTGCAAGAGGCCTCTTTGGGGAGCAATATACTCCCACAACCACTAACTCCCCCAACAATGCTGCGACGTATCCCCGTCCGACGAGTTCAAACGACGGAGAACTATTCCCAGCGTGGGTGATGAGGGCTACCAAGCTACCAGTAACTTCTTACTGAAATAAAGTACGGCTCGGAGCCGATCTCTAGGCAACGAAATCACCTTAAGGGCCTTGTCAGGAGCTAACAAGATCCTTAAAGCCAGTGAAGCCTTTATGAATTGAACCGGCCTTTATTGCTCCAATGGGCACCCTTTAACTTCTGCAATAGCGGCCACCACTACCTCAGGCCCATGATGCGCCACTCCAGACATATGATGGGTCTGGATACACGGACCCCGTCTTCTCCCACTACTGCTCGCAACTTCTCTGAGAGAACATCTGCCTTCGCGCCACTAGTAGCTCCTGGAATTTCGAGAAGCAGTGCACCGGTGACGGTAGATTGCAGGTGCATCTCAAAGTAGTGATACCAATTTAGCTCTCCGCTTGATCACCGCTTTGGCTTTAGCCAAGACTTTGCCGTTGCTAAGGCCAGGCTCCTTAGCTCCAGACGGTAGTGTGATGACGACCGTGGATGAGCGTGAGGCGCGAAGACTTCTGGTCTCTCTTGCTGCTTTTTTCTTTTCGTTCCGCCTTGACTTTTCAGCCTTCTTCGTGGTCATCCCTGCGGTCTTCCATTCACCTCCATGCGGACCAGTTGGCTGTTTGGGCTGACTAGCAAATATGGTAGGGACTGCTTTTTCAGTCCCACATGCTGTAAAAGTATTTGACCCTGGATTTCTAGCTCCGCGTGCAGTTGACTTTTTAATCTTTACCTTTCCACTTGCCTTTGTCACTCGAATATTTGAGGCAGGCTGAGAGGCAGACATCATCTCAACAGTGATCTCCTGACTAGAAGAGGCGGTAGTTTTTGAATAAGTCGGCTTTATCGTACTGTCACTGGGCAATGTCGGAGTATCTTTCCTCCAAGACAGCAAACCGCTGGTTTAAATTTGCCAACTCCTGACGGAGTAGCGATACTACCTCCGGCTCTAGAGCTGGCCGTTGAGAAGGCGATACCTCGACTTCTATCTGTCGTCTTACCTGCAACCTGCCCAGCTCTGCCTGCAGCTCATCTAACTCTTTACGGAGCTGAGATGTTTCAGGCGGCGAGCATTCTCAGCCTGTAGTCGCGCCGTTTCCTCTGACCTCCAGGTGCTCTACGATCAAACTGGAGACGTCCTTGAAGGCCTTCTGATAGGTTCCCTTTAACCCCTTGGACACTTTAGCTACCTTTTCTTATTTCTTATTGTCATGTACTCTTGCTTGCATCTAAAGAGCGGTTAGATCTTCACGCTCCCCTAAATCCACGGCATTGGAAAAGGTTTAACCGAGCCTTCCAGAATTTTCCTTTTCGGCCAGATCCGCAAATCTGCTCCCTCCTGTGTCTCTTTCTCTGTAAGTTCCGCAGTTTTTTGTGCTGCACCCAGTTCTCGTCTCGCTGCTAACAATCGTACATATCGACCTGAGGTTTGTGGGCAGCACCTACCTCGTCGAGCAGTGGTAACTTTTGCTACCAGTACCACTTCATCACCCAAGACCGAACTCGATCCCAGGTCCTCACCCCTGGGCGAGTCAGGGCGGGTGCGCTTACGCATAAGCTTACCGCGTAATATAGCACTATCCATTGTCATCGTGGTTTTCTGGCTAGACGCTGTGTTAGAATCTGACAGGTCAGCCTGGGTCCATACGACTTTTGGTTGTGGTGCACCATTTAAATTTTTGTTTATAGACTTTTCCATTTTAGTCCCACGAATAATGAGGAAGTATTCGTCGACCCAGGCAGAGCCACTATACCGACGCACCTACTGGAATTACGATCAAGCGGCGAGGGTAGCGAAAGAGTAATTCTTAGGCTACCTGCTCGGAGGCAGGGCAAGTGCTCACCGAGCTCGCCATTATTCCTCTTCCATAGAGGACCTTTTTGGGCCTCTAATACGCCTTCTGCTAGATCAGACTCGTTTAGAATGCAGCATGACATTAAAATGTGAACACCACGCCCTACAATTCTTCTTCCCATCCTTGACTATGCCGATGTCAGCTATCTTGATCTGAACGAGGACCAATTCGATAAGCTTGAGAGACTTCAGAACTTCTATATAAGATTCATTTTTGGCTTGCGCAAATATGATCATATTTCCGAATTTCGTAAAAAACTCAAGTGGCTCCCAATTCAGCTTCGCCGGAATACTCACATCCTCTCTTTACTTTATAATATTGTATTTAATCCTGCAACTCCTATCTACTTAAAGAGACGATTTGCATTTATCCATGACACACATACACGAAACTTGAGATCAACAGAAAATCTTACACTAGAAATTCCAACACACTCCACAGCTTTTACTGATACATCTTTTACAGTACAAGCAGCACGCCCATTGAATTCCTTACCGGAAGCTATAAGGCGGGCACGGTCAGTGAGTACTTTTAAGAGACTCACTCACTTTTAGGATCACTATTTATCTCTGTAAGAACTATGTGTTATATATGTAGGTATGTAATGTATGTATGTATATGTATGTATGTATATGTATATTTATATGAATGTACGTATGTGCATGAATTTGTATTTATGTAAATCCATATTATGCGCACCACAGACAACATATCACTATACAATATAGTCCATCTAAAGGTTGCCTGTAAGAGATCGCAGACTGCAATAAGGCCGCCCATTGTACTACTGTTTTTTTAATTTTATGTTTATATTGCATTGTATGTTTTCTATCCATGGTGTGCAATAAAGAGTACCTATCTATCTATCTATCTATCTAAGTCGGACTCCGTCGGTCATCCCGTTTAGTCTGGAGTCTCCCTCTGGGCCAATCTGGCATGAGTGTATCTACTGGCATAGCTCCAGAGAACATTGACTCTCATTTTGCAGCCGTTAAGTTGCTGATACAGGCATGTAATTGCATTTGTCATTTTAAAAAAATGGCTTCTATGTATTAAAAAAATGTTTTGTTTTTTTTATTGGGATTTAAGGTGTTGTTTGTTTCAATCTTTACTCACTTTGAGAAATACTGCTTTAATAAATGTATTTATAACTACTAGGTACCTAATGCTGGGTTAAGCATTCTTAATTATAACAATATTGTTTAATTTAAAATTGCTGCCAATATTGAACAAGCAAACCGGACTGTTGTTCATGGCTGATATTTAAGACTTAAGTTTTATAAAGGTCGGTTACAGGGTAGTTTCAAATATATTGGCTACTGGGTCCCGCGAGTCGTCAGAGTACATTTTATGAACATCTAATAAAATTTTTATCGTGTAACAGTAAAGAAGCAATCAGTCCGTTGGATATTGGCCTGCGGGGTCGGTAAACACGTGTATTTTTATGTTCGTTCGTCGTTACCGACATTCATAGATTCGCATATAGAGCCACTTTTGTAGATTATCTATTTAACTGGATTTCGCTGATGTTAGAATCTAAATTTCCAAGTCTGTATAGGAACGTACTATAGGGCTGTGAAATGTTACTCTCAAGGTAATTATTGCAAAGTCGATACATTTAGTTTATATGTCAAGTCCGATTCATTTGGCTCTCTTATTTTATCTCTACACATATCCGCATTATTCGAGTCAGGAAATATGTACTTTTGTTACAGTTTTATATTCCATATTTTATTTACATCGTTTTACACTGATATCTTTGTAATAAAAATACAAAATATATATTTTAAACTTATTTAAGTGACTTTGTGACGAATGTAATATTGGCGTGTTTTTATTTGACATTAATTGATAGTATCATCGTTATAATGTTGGACATGGCGTTGAAGATATATGTAAGGAAGGATATGTATTATTTTCACTTCTCGTCTTAGAAAGAAATGCCTAAAATATCTAGTGATACTTATAAGTTCACTTTTTTATACGTTCACACATCTCACACACAGTAGTCTAATCCCAAACTAGGCAAAGCCTGTACTATACTTATATATTTCTTGATAAATTATACCTTTTTTTTTTTTATTTTTTTTTTTTTTTTTTTTTTCCGTGCGGAAATCCCCTCGGATACCACCTGTCGGTGGCATGTCGGACGCGAACCGACTAAAACCGCACGCCTTCGCCGGGTACTAATAGCCGGGGAACCAGGTATACCCTAGAAAGGAAGGCCCTGGTGCCCCGACATACCTCGGGTCATCTACAGACGAGTAGACGACCCCCGCCCCGTGTGGGAACCCCATGTTCCCTCTGCTCCCTGGAAGCGAGCGCGCTTCGCAACGCGCTCGCCGCCACCCCGGCCTGCTTCTGCTAGGGTGACAGATGGCTTCACCTGTCACCCCCAGGCCTGCGCTTATGGAGGACGGAGGTCGTTCTGCGACCTCCGGCGCCTGAGTCGCCTGCGCTGCCTGGCCCGTGCCCGGGCCTGGCGGGCCGGGAGAGTTCTAAACCTCTCCCGGTCCCGCTCCGCCGTCTCCTTCGCGAGCATAACTTGCTCGCAGAAGGAGACGGCAGAGTTCCACGCACTCTCGCTCCGCACGATAGCCGCAATCAGGCTATCGAGCGAGAGAACTCCCACTCCGATGGCCGCCACGAGGTCTCGCCTCTGCTCAACCCACGCCGGGCACTCTGCCAGCGTGTGGAGAGCCGTGTCCACGGTCTGGCCATCGCAGTGGTGGCACTCAGGCGTTGGCTCCTTGCGGATCAGACACAGGTGATCTCCGAAACATCCCTTCCCAGTGATCACCTGCGTCAATCGGTATGAGAGGGTCCCGTGACGCCTCTCGAGCCAATACTCCATAACGGGTCTTACCGCCGCAATGACGGCGTGCCCGGCGCTCGGTTGCCCGAGTCGTTCCCTCCACTCCCCTATGATGACCTGGCGGAGTTGGGATTTCCGGTCATCGATTTCTCGAATCTCGGGGGATCGACCCAACTCCTGCGCCTCCTTGCGCCACTGATACAGAGCCGCAAGGGCTCTCGCCTCCAGGTCCCATGGTGGAGTTCCGGCCAGGAGACTCGCCGCCTCAAAGGAGATCGTGCGGTACCCCCTTATGATGCTGATGGCCAGCATTCGCTGCGGTCGTCGCAGTATCGCGACGTTGCTGGCCTTCAGGGCCCCCGCGATAAATTATACCTAGACATAGAAGAAATAATCGTGCCCACGACCTCTGGCTTAGCAGTCAGGGTCAGGGTGACTAACCACTAGACCAAATGACCTAATGAAAAACATACAATAAAAAATATTATTGTTAAAGTGAAAGCTTCTTTAGGCACGTTGGCCATTTTTGAATAACCAACAAAATAATGTATTTTTTGAGATGCAAAAATCCATTGAACTCGCGACACAGTTAATATAACTAAATATAATATACAACATATATATATATATATTTATACATTCGAAATTCGAAACACCGACACGAGATCAATGACCCAATTATAATTCGACCGAGTTTTAAAATAGATTTAATTATGCAAATAAACGCATAACATTTACAATGTAACTATACCTGCCAATTTAAATTTATTTAGTAGCGAAACAAAAACCTACAAAAGTTTAGACGTCGATAAACGTGTTATGTTGACCTTAGCGTATATATATAAAGCTGTGCATCTTTCATGGGAAAAATATTTAATTTAACCGACATTCAAATTGATGATGACATAGTAACAACAACAAATAAGTAGATGAAGATAGTTTAAAATGTTCAAGGTTTATTGTTAAGTTTTATTGTCTTGTTCTCTGCTGAAATTGATTTGTATCTCCATCTATCAACAATGGATTTGTCACCACCTAATTGGGAGATAGACGGAAAAGAGAGTTAGCAGCGTGCTATAGTCCGCGATGTGAATTCAAGGAGTTCTAAGTTTAAATCGAAAAATGTACGTACAAACAAACATGGAGAAACAAAACATAGAACATTTTTTAAATGATACTATACTCATAAAATCAACAAATCTATAATAAACATTACAAATAGTATAGCAGTTTGTAGATGGATATAAATGATATAAATAAATAAACTGCAAGTTTTTATAGAGTCCAACGTTATGCAACGGTATCATGACGCCGCGCAGTGGACATGCCAGATCCCGAGGACGCCGGCACAATCACGCACGGCCCTGGGACAGTTTGACGAGGCATTACCCACGTATACTAATATGTTTGTTAGCTCTGTTTGCCTTTGTAAACAGACAGACGCTGCTGTTATTGCGGTATTACGATACACTAGTTTTCAAAACATAATCACGTTTTACACAATTTCACTATGTATCGACGTATTAATATGTCCTAACTTCTTTGCTGTTGCTGACGTGCACAATAAACGGGACTTTTTAACGAACTTTTCGAAACATTCGTATAAACCGTTTTTGTGTCGATTTTTACGGTAAATATTCCACAACTGTACGGGGGGGGAGGCTAACGGTACCGTAAATGTATGCAAGTCAATATAACTTCAAACGAGTTCTAAAAACAGTAAAACAATGAACCAACTTATAATAGTGTGTTCGATGCAATTGGCAGCTAATTTCTTGTTCCACGACCAACCAACGCGTTCATTGTGTTAAAATTTTAATAGACTCTCTTTATCACAAAATTCTTTTGTGAATGAAAGGAATTACGCAATCGGATTAACATACTAGTAAGTTTTTAGATACTCGCATCGAATGTACTGATACCAGATATTGTGTTTATGTGTGTAGACACAATACTCATAACTTACCTACGCAAAACTTTAATTGGGCCATAACCATTACCTACAACGTTTATCTATTTCAAATAAGC